AATTTACTTTGAAGGGGGGCATCCTGGATCGTGTGCCAAAACATTTGTTGCTTTCTTCTCACTATGACTTGTGGGTTTGAGAAAAGAAAACGGAGCTCGCATTTCTTTTTTCCTCCATTTTTCCATCTCCCTCATGCGTGGCCTCCCGGGTCTGCTGGAAGGCCACAAAGTGGGAATGGGTGTCTTTTCCACTCAGATCCCAGTGAAATGCAGGAGAGACTCCAAAATAACTAGGGCTTTGCTCGATGAACTGTCAACACTGGCATAAACTGTAATTGTGCTCACTGTCCACACCAGAGCTTGGGATTTTTCTCAGTCTGTTGGCCACGTACATGGAGAGCTGACCAAAACTAATTTTGTAATATAAACATAAGCTGCACATTTGGTTCAATACTTACATCTATGTTATGCTTCTGTGCAAAGCAATTTCTCTCAGAAGTCTGATAGCCAAAGAAATGTCTCAAGATTTCAGTCAAAATGCGCACACAGTATGCACACACCCATACACACACACACACAAGAAGAAAACAGGCCAAAAGGAAGGGGATGGTGACAGGGTCATTCAAGGCCATCGTGTGTCCTGTAAATCCCGTCTTTTCTGCTACTACTTTCATTCCAATAGCGATGGTAGACATTTTTCTCAGGGGGAGCAGTTGTTCTTGGGACGTGTAAATGGAGCAGACAGTTGGCAGATAAATTTAAACAGTTTGAATAGGGGGCTGGGTTCTTGAGGGGAAAGGAAGTTTTAACAATGAAGTGCCTCCATTAAAAGGAAAAATATAGAAGTGGCTTATCTAACACATCAGAATAGCCTTCACTGTTAGAACTAGGGGGTTATTTCATTTTTCAAAGTAACCTACTTAAAAGATTTGTGGGCCAGAATAACCTACTAAGCCAGAAAGGAAAGGTGAGATGCGAGGATGGCGTGGCAGGCGAGCACTTGAAACCTGTGGTTGATGCTTTCCCCAGGTATAGGCAAAAGGGCCTCAGTTAAAAGAACAGGCAAAAGAGAACCGTCAATTTGCCTGCTGTCAAAATGTAAATATTCCTGAGTTATTAATTAATAATCACTCTCATGTACTATCTAGAAGTAAATTGTGAGAGAAAAAAAACCTCAAGTTGCCCAGCTGACTAGAAACGCCACCTTCTTCCCCTAACACGCTCCCTGCCCTGTGAAGGTTGGGGGTTCTTCTTCTGTGGCCTCTTTGCTGGTTGTGTCAGTGCAATGGTATAATCGTCCCCACCCTGCCAGATGATTCACGCAGCAATCAGGAGACCGACAGCAAGGAAACTCGGAAGGAAATCCTGGAAGGGGAACCGTCGCTTGTAAACGTGTTTCCATTTCGCCAGTCTGATGCTGACTGGACCACGGGTAACTCGATCTTCCATGCCAAGGACACCATGGTACCCGTTTTGCCACCTCAAAAACTGCACAAATACCAACAACCCAGAAATCCAAAAATATAGTGATTAAACAGATTTTGTATTCTCCTAGGACCTGCTCCAAATTCCATCAAGAAAAGCTCCCCAAGAAGAGAAGTTAACAAGATAACATATGATGGATGCTCAATGTTTAAACGTATGCCGACAGCAGTTACATAAGGCCTGCTCAGTTCGGAGATCTATAATTGGGAAGGGATAACTAGGACAGTGAAAACACAAAATAAAAGTAATCTTCCTGAGTGGAATAAAAGAAGTATATTCATCCCACAGTCGTAAAACCATTCATGTGCAGTGATTTTTTTTATAGTTTTATAATTTTGTATTGTTTTATAAATTATTTATAAGGTGTTGTAATGCTTCTTATATTAATTTTTTACAGATAAATTTTTTGCTACAAGGCATAAAAAGGTGCCTGAACAGATTCTTAGGAATATAAATTATACTACGTAACGCGTAAGTCTTCGGGACCACACCTATTGCTTAATTTTATTATGACATTTCTTATTTTCACTTGTGAACAACTTCATATTGCCAATAGTATTTAAGTGTCTTTTATGTTTCCATGAACTGAAGGTTAATGTTGCCATGAACAAAAAGTAAAAGCCACTTCAGGCATATGTGATTGTGTTTCAAGCTTCACTGTTTTTTTTACATATTTTTAAATTATTGTCATCTTCATTTTCTTCGTTGTTTCATGAAAAAGAAAAATGACTGATGTTATATTTTACACTTGTTTGTGGGGTTTTTTTTTCTTTTTCAACCAAAAACCATTTTGAACAGTTGACAGTTTTAATTGCATTACAAGGTTTTGGTTTCTTTATGTTGTAATCACATGAATACACACACACATACAAACACACACTCACACACCACAAAAGAGAGAACAAAAAAGCAAAAGGAGCTAGGAAAAAAAAAAAACAATTAGAGGCGTATCAAAGAACTCAAGCTATAACCAAAAAGAAATTGTAAAATGCCTTTGCTCATCTTCTCTACGCTGGACCAAAGCTCAATGTTTGTAGGTATATGCACATTGTATAGATATGGCTAAATGTCGCTGACAATCTCGCAATACTAAACTGTTCCTATCTTAAGAAAAAAAAAAAGAAATACAAACTGTTCATCAGTGTTTTACCTCAGCACTCTACTTGTACCCAGTTAATGACCAAGCTTAAAAAAATGGAGAAAAAGGAAATTGATTTTCATTTCAATGTTTGACTGTAAAATCTGTTTGGATAACATTTTGTAATAAGCTTTCTGTCATGTAATTTGCTTGTCTTCAACTTGAAATTATGTGAGGCACATTTGTTGATTGGTTGTTAAGAAAGTGATTTTTTTTTGTCCTACGTGCTGTGATCTCGACTGGTCACCAGGGTCACTGATGAGGTGCCACAAAGAGAGCTGCTGCTCCGTGCCTGGAGCGGGCGGCAGGAAGGAGGGCAGGAAAACGGACTGGGTTGTTTCAAAAAACTCATCATGACGAGAAGTTGACATGATGGACTTGTGACCAAGAAGCCAAACTGGATATTTAAAAGCTCCTTACTTGCTCTGACATTGAAACCAAAGCTGATTTATCTGCACAGGTTGCTTAACGTTAAAAAAAAAAAACTGACAAAACTGTACTTAATCTAGAGCAATATCTGTATGGTCAGTAAAGCTGCACTTTGTGTATTTATTTCTTAACAGCTTCAGATCTGTCACTTTTAATTTGTACCATGAAAAATAAAGAATTGTTTGACATGAGCTTCTAGGCTAAGCGTGTCTTGAACTCAGGTATGTCGTTTAAATTGGAAGCATGTAAATAAGCATACATTACAACCCCAAATGTTAAGAAAAGGAGGAGATTCAAGACAGACTGGTTAACATCATGATTATTCTAACTTTTCAAATGAAATACGATATGAATTAGGACTCCTGTGGTTGGAAGTTATAGAAATCCAGTTCAAACTCACTTAAACAAAGAGACCCTGCTGTCTGACTTGACAGGGAAGTCCTGTTGAGGACCTCAAACACAGCTGGATACTGTGGTTCCAAGAATGTCATCAGCCTATGCTGTTGGCTTCCTTCTCAGATGGAGACCCCAGACGTTGAGTCATGCTCCTGTCTCTAGACTAGGCACTGTGTTGGGAGATGGCGTAGCTTGAATCAGCCACTCAGGTCACAGACCCACTCTTGTCTGTGGTGGGAGGGGCCTTATAATACCAATCCCGCAGGACCCCAAGGATGAAGGAGCAAGTCTCCATAAGAACCAGAAGGCAGGAGATGAGAAACCACAGTAGACAGACAAAACCCAGGGCCACCACAGTCTCCTGCTAACACCCAGCTGTGTGCCAGGTGTCGTAGAGAATTCTACTGGGAAAGAGGTTTTGCTGCTCTTAAACAATGCCTGTCATTGTATGTTCTGGAAAATTTAAGCATTTAGAATATGCTCCTGCTTGAAGTTTAATGTGAGTAGGAGGGGTGAGTTAATGTTGATATAGAATTTACTAATTCAAAAGGAAGACAGGACCATCTTGCTAAAAATACCAGTAAAATTTTTTTTTAATTAGAATCACAACCTGCATACTTTCAGCGACCTTTAGCAAACATTTCTTATGCTACATGGAGATCCATATATCAACTTCATGCTGTGGTTGATAAGAAGTGCTTTGGGGCAAGCAACAGAACCAAAAATCTGAGTGCCCATACATTATAAATGGGCAGGGAATGTGGCCAGGATGCTCCAAGACTGACTTTAGGAGGAGCAAAGAAACGCTGATGCTTCTGCCCTTGAAAAGTTATTTTCAAGCTTTCTTTCCATCTAGAATACTCTAAAAATATTCTGGGCAAAGGTCCTCCCTATGATTATACCTATTATTACGAAATATGTTTAATTTAGGAAACTCTAAAATGTCCTCTTTAAAAAGATAGCCATCATTTAAATTCAATCATTCCATAGTCCACAAATATCTGCTAAGCACTTCATACAAACCAGTAATATTTCTTCAGAAATTAAAGTCAGCCCATGTTGCTTGTGCTACAATATTTCACAAATAAAATAAATTTCAGAAATAAAATAATAAAAAGCAATTCTGAGGCTGACTTTGAAACAGTGAATGAATGAGTAGGAATAGCCTAGGCTTACAAGACAATCACCAGCACCTGTTTTAAATGATTCCAAAAGCTGTTCCAATAAGAATTTCCCACTAAACCAACCATATACACATAACCTATTCAGTGGCAAGTGCAGTAGGGCAATGGTTGATGAGTTTAATCAAAAATCCACGGTTGGAAAGAGTTCAGAAGCAGTCTGTCACAAAGTAGATGAAACCAGCTCCTCACTAACGCACACAGGTCTGGGCTCCTCATCTGTTGTTCCGCCTCTGAAAGAGTCCAGTAAACACCTTTCTGATCTATTTGACTTATCTGCTGTACCATGAGGAAACCCATGGTCAGGGGAAGAACACAACACCTAAGGAGGTTTTCAGTATACTGGATGAAAATCTGTCTAAAACATATGACACCTTTTTGTGTTTTCTTAAAGCAGATTATAGACGTAATTTACCCTCTTCTTGACGGACTTTCTCCCTCTGTTTGTTTTATCCTTGTTACTGGCTCTATCAGTCAGCTATCCAAAGCAGAAGGCTGGGAGTTATCCCAATCCCTGTGCACATACAGACGCTAAGTCACGGCAAGTCCTGTCAATTGTGCCTCATGAATTCCTTTGACTCTGTCTCCTGGTCTCCATCCCCCACTGCCACTACTTCTTTCAAATCTGCCCACCCCTGGCCTGGACCACCATGATATGTTCCTCCTGGTCTCTCTACCTGTCATATCTTCACCACCAGAAAATCCATTTTAAAAGGCCAATATGAGCATAGCTCTCTTTTATTTAAAATCTTCCCAATGTTTAAACCATCGCCTTCAGAATGAAAAACAAACTCCAGCATAGCATATAGTGTCTTTCATGACTTCACCCTTGTTTACTTCTTCAGCCTCATCTCTCATCAACTCCCAGTTCATACAGTTGTGTCTTAGCCTCACCAAACTTCCTAAAATTTCTCCAATGCCCAAAGCACTTTTGCTGCTGTACCTTCTGCTCATAACGTCCATCCACTGCACTGTTGGCCTATCCAATTTCTCCTCGGTCTTTAAGAGTCAATTCTGTTCAATTCCACAAAGAGTTGTTGGACTCCTACTATGCACCAGGCATTGGGCTACCTTCATTGCAGCATGTGTCAAGTTTGCATATTTACCAGCTACCACTTACATGTCAGAAAGTCACTGCCAGAGATCCCTGAACGACCTATGGACTTGGCTTACAGATAAGTGTAGTTTGGCAATATATTCTTCTAACTAGTTGTCATTTATATGTGACACATCTTCCTTGTCTAATAAGAGTAACAGTAATCTCATATTTATATAGTTTTCAAAGCTTTTTCATGTACATTGTTTTGTTTGCTTCTAACATAAGCCCTTGGAAGTGTGATAATTTCTATTTTATAGAAAAGAACTAAGAATCATAAAAGTTAATAGCCTTGACCAAGACCCCATAGTTCATAAGTAGATCTGGTATTTGAATACATTAGGAATTAGAATATTCACCAAGGTGGATACACAGTGAACCCCAGGGAAATAGTGTCTGACACCACCACATCTTTGCATCACCAGTGTAAAGTACAGTGTCTGATGTATGACACAGTTCAGGAAAGGCTTATAGTTGTTGATGATAAATTCCAATTGTCTAATTACCAAGTCCACTATGATTTAGGTGAACATAGCCTGAATGATTAGTGCTTGGCAGAAATAGTAAAAGATACATAAAGGGAAATTAGAAATGCCTCTACGTGTTATGCCATTTCATGATCACTGAGAGTTAGGGGCTCCAGATAAGAACACAGAGAGTTCCAATCATTCCAAAGGCAAATGAGTTGAAATCAGTTGAAAAGTGAAAGAGAAAGTCAGTGAACCCCACAGGTTATTTGACTAATCCCATCAGCAAGTGAAGAACATGCAGTGTGTGTAGAAACAGGAAGTTGACCTGGGATCTAGACTGGCGGGTCCACTCCAGAGCTTTCTTTGAAACTCTCATGTCACTTTTAAGAATTTAGTTATGCTCCTAACTGTTAAGGGCATCTAAGCTTTACCAGACCTGCTGAGGGTAACTTAGGAACAAGTTACTCTCTTCTAGTTGCTTTATTTGCACCACTGAAGTCTGGTATCTGCATGGCAGGCTCTGTATGTGTTAATGGGCCTCATTATTGAGGTCACTGGTGCATTATCTCTGAAAGTGGGGATGTTTCCAGGGTGTTTAGCTATGTGCACATACGCATTGGTAGGAGAGCCGATATAACCACACCGATCCAGAACTGGAGTAGCTCCAAAAAGTGAACTTCAGTCAAAGAACAAGAGGCCAAATGCAATAAAAGCATTCATGGTGAACTATAATATTGAAGTTCTTTGCAGATGCTCTTGTTAAGATGCTGGATAAAAGCAGAAAAGAGTTGGCTTTTCTTAGATTCCTACCATATTTAGATATTACTGTCTTCATTTCCAAATCTTGCACTCTTATCTGAGATGTGAAGCCTGCTTAGACATACTTATGCTACTAATAAAGGTTCTCATAGAGAAAGATCCACTAAGACTGACTTTCATCTAGACCTACTAAACACTACACGTCATTGAAGCGGATCACTGGGCCTCAGACGAGTCCACTTGGTCCTGTGGTTCTGGTCACCACTTGGCCCACATTATAACTACAGATGAAGGAAAAAATATCAATTAGGAAACAGTTTTGCTTGTTTTTCTTTCCAGTTTTTGCTGTTGTTATCTTGTATTATACAAGTAAACGATGTTTGTTGTAGAAAAATTAGAAAATACAAAGAAACAAAGACATTTCCATTCTAAGTGTATTATACTTCAACTGTTTACCTTTATATTTCTCTATTTTAACATTTATGGGCTCTTTCAAATAATTGTCTTAAACTGCAGAGACAGATGGTAAATTAGGAAATCAAAAACGGAACTCATATATCTTGAAATCCCATCTCTATGAAACACCACAGCTACATGAGTTGGCTAAACTCAGTAATTATTTACCCAGAATCCTGACTAGACCCATATGCAGCCCATCTTAGAGGAAAACACAACAGCCCCTGGGTGTCTGGGAGGAGACATAATGTCTGAGACTGTTTTCCACACATGATTTTCTAAGCAACCAAGAGGCACTAGTGAAGAAAAGTAGGTTTCAGTCATGGAGACCTGCATCCCCAGGTATTGGCAGGACTGTGGTGGTTGACATCATGAGCTCTTTCTTAAGGTGAGACCCTCTGCCTTACATTGAAATAATGGTTTTGTCTTCATGTAAGTCTAAACTATATCAAAGCCTTTGATGACCATATCATGCGCACACTAAGCATTATACACTTGCACCTAATGAGGAGCCAGTCTAGGATATAATGGCATGGGAATATAGCTTAAACCCATCAAAACCATTCTCTGCCATCTAATTTAACAATACACACCCCAACACACACACATCAAATATTTTTAGTTGTTTCTTTCCAATAACACAAGCTTCACACTTACTTTCTAACACACTCCCACTGTTTAAATTCCTACTTTTGCTTTGAAAAGAGGGAAAAAAAGTCTCCACAGGCTCCTGGCTCTGCCCTAGAAGGTTACAGTACAACCAGTCTTTCCAAAAAGTAATGTGGGCTCAAGTACTTGCCCATTATTGTATGTATTCTTCATTTCTGTTTCTAGAACTATCAGACTCCTCAGAAGGAACAAAAAGAGAAAAAAAATAAATGAATCTGAAGGCTCCAAAGAGGATAACAACAGAAGATTTCTCTAGTATTCCCCTTCACAGGAAGCATTGACCTCTGAAGGGAACTATTTATACTTCCTGCAGAGAGCAAAAAACTGGGGGAGACACCTGCCCTCCCCCTGGCAGAGCAGCGCCCCATCCTGCTTCTTCCCCTCTCCCTAGACCTTTGTCTTCTGCTTCTCTCCTTTAAACTTACTTTGTCCTTACTTTCCCCAAAACTGAAAGGGTAAGAAGCATTCCCAGTTTAACCAGATGAGCCTGTTCTCTGTTTCTTGCACATATTCCCCCAACTTTCTCAGCTGGGGGACTCTCCTTACAGTTGGTGTTCTCCTGGCCTATTGCTCCTTCCCTATCCTCACATCCAAACCCTGATCAGCCTCCATAGTACAGACGAAAGGCCTAAGATTTGAAAGAGTAATAACAGTGTAACTGAATATGTGGAGCCGAGGTCAAGATCAGGATTTATCACAGGGGTGGGCAAGCATTTCCTGTAAAGGGTCAAAGACATAAAATATTTTATCTTTGTGGGCCATACTCTGCTTTTGTGGCACAAAAACAAATGGGATGTAAACAAATGGGAATGGGCGCATTTAAATAAAACTCTGTTAACAAAAATAGGCAGCAGCTGGGTTTGGCCAGTGGACTGAGGTTTGCCCACCCAGATCTGTTAGGTTAAGTTGGTTTGGGGGCCACACAGTCCTTGTAAGTCTTCCATGGATTCTGGGCATGTACCCACCTTCTGTTCCACCCAGATGCCCTAGGATTCTTTCATCTGTTTTGTATGCACCCCTCCATGTGCTTCAAAAACCTTAGCCTTCAAAATTGTGCACCTGTAACTCTTCTTCTGGAGGACTTCCTCAGGCTACTGGAGTCACTTTTTGCTGTTGTTGTCGAGAACGATTGGCCCTGAGCTAACATCCGTTGCCAGTCTTCCTTTTTGCTTGAGGAAGATTAACCCTGAGCTAATATCTGTGCCAATCCTCCTCTATTTTGTATGTGGGTTGCCGCCACAGCGTGGCTGACAAGTGGTGTAGGTGTGCGCCTGGGATCCGGACCTGTGAACCAGGCCACCGAAGCAGAGTGCACTGAACTTAACCACTACACCACGGGGCCTACCTGGAGTCACTTCTGTCTGCAGGAACACAAAGCCCCAAGTGCCTGGAAGTGTATGCCCCCAAACCCCCACCCTGGGGCAGCCCTTAACCTATGACTGATAGGTGCAAGAGGATGACTACCAACCCTCTGCCTCTGGTCTGGACACCTCTGATGCTCCTGCACATTCCAGATTCATTCAGATTGAGGGATCCGGCTGTGCTGCCCTCCCCAGGGATCTGCCTGAAATTTCTCCCCTGCCTGACCTGCTTCTTCCCTCCTTTACCAGTTTTTCCTAGAAGCCCTTCTTTGATAAATCACCTATACCCAAATCCTCATCTCTGGGGAACTTGACCTCAGGCACCCTTTCAGAATGTTCCAGAAACTTTTTGTCTCCATGAAATGTTTGCTAACCCTGGAATGGATGCTCAGACACATCCCTAAATTTGCATGGGGCCCAGAAGCCTTGTCAGCAAGACCTTAAACCCAGCCCACAGTTGAGGTTCAAACATATGCAGAACACCTGAGAGACTAGGCTTCCCGCAGGGACCCAGATCAGAGGGAGAGAGAGTGGGCCCTGGAGAGGAGATGGCTGTGAATGTGGGAGGGCCCAGCAGAGAGGACCAGCCTGAGTTCAGCACAGCCCAGAGCAGCAGTTCCCGTAAGGGGCGAGGTGGAGATGCTGTGTGCGCCGCTGGAAGGGAAGAGACTTTGGAGTTAAATAGCTCCTCACCTGTAGAAGCAGGGCCAGGACTAAGGTGACGAAGTGGGGTCCCTAGGACACAAAATTCAAGGAGGCAGTCAGGTCATGCCCCTGAGATTAAGCACCTCCTGAAATTTTATATCCTGGTGCCTCACTGGCCTCACTCTTGTCATGGCTCTTCTGGAGGTGCTGGTCTCAAGAAGCAGAAGGTGACTTCCTGTTGGCCAAAGAGGAGCTTTGGAGGTCAGCTGCCTGGTGGAAATTGGCAGCTTTAAAGTAATGGCCGGGGCAGCTGCTCAAGCTTTGAGGTCATGCTCTACATGGGATGCAAGTGGACTCAGACTCCTAGCTGTCTCTGGAATGTGCCAGGCACTCTCCCTGGCTCAGCAGCTTTACTTAAAGTGTACACACTATATAAGCTCCTGCTCCTTCACCTTCTTCCAGTCTTTGTTCAGTCTCATCTGTTAAGTGGCTTCCAGGGACCACCTTAATGAATATCGCTACCTGTACCACCTCCTTATAGCATCCTCTAACCTACTCTACCTTCTCTTTTTTCCGAGGCACTTGTAATCACCTCATATACTGCATAGTTTAATTAGTTACTATGTCTGCTGTTTGTTATCTGCCCCTTCCCGCTAGAATGTAACCTCCTCAAGGTCAGCAGTCCTTGTTTGGTTTACTTTCTGTCAGCCCCGAGAACAGTACCTGGAATACAGTAGGTACTCAATAAATATGTGTTGCCTGAATGAACGAATGAATGAATGAGATTTTGGAGTGTACTGGTTTAGGATTGCCAGATATAGCAAATAAAATACAGGACACCCAGTTAAATCTGAATTTCAGATAAACAACAAAAATTTTTTAATATAAGTCTATCCCAAATATTGCATGGGACATTCTTATACTTAAATATATATATATATTCATTATCTATCTGAAATTCAAATTTAATGGGGCATCCTGTATTTTATCTAACAACTCTATACCAGTTACAGCGACAACAATAAAATTGCCATTTGTTGATTGAACAATTGCAATGTGCCAGGCACTGTGTTCAGGGTTTTACTCACATTTAATCTTTACAACAACCTATAAGATACTATCTAGTTTCTTCCTTTTGCAGAAGAGGAAACTGAAGCAGAGAGAGGCTAAGTCTCTAGTCCAGAGTCTCACAGCTACTCAGTAGGATAATAAGGTAAGAGACCAGGTCTGCCTGGACTCAAGGCCTACGTACCAAATCACAAGGCCACACTGCCTTACCCTCCATGGCCACCAACAAAATGCAGATTCCCCCTAACCTAGATGCCACGGCATTGCACGAGCAGCCTTCTGGTGCACATGACTGTGTCCCTCCCTGCACCTGCCACTGTGCCTTTTTACTCTTCTGGTCTGATCCTGACAGAAAAAGCATGATCATCCAAATTGCAGGTGGAAACTCTGGAGCTGACACTCCTTCAGCTACAGACGGTCACCACCAGTCTCCACCCCAGACGCCTAAGAGAAAGGAGGAACATGGCCAGCTTGAGAGATGATGAATGTCTGGAATCCAAAGGCTGCTGAACTTTGCAGCAAAACTAAGATAGGTAGGATAAATCCTACCGAAGTGGTCCTGTCCTCCTCTCCAGACCAGAGTAGAGAGACAGAAAGGTTAATCCCTTGTCTGAGATTTGGAGGCCCTCTGTTCGAGAATAAATGTCTACTTTGGGTATGCAGCATCAGGACACTTTGGAGGGAGTGCTGTTAAGGACAACAGGCATAAACTGAAACTTCCCTTAAATATTGGTAATTATATAAAATATTACTCACTTGGCTCTTATTTATAGTTTTTCATGAAAATTAAAGTTGGAATAGAGGCCGTAAACTCAAATGCTTACAGGGCTGGGAGATAATGTATATGAGTAAAATGGACCCAGGGGAATAGTATAAGCACAAGGATGAAAAGCAGCTAACACTTGGCTTCAATGTCAGGGACGATAGGGAGTGGTAGAGAGTGTGGTAAGCTGGAGAATGCACGACTTATCCAAAGGACATAACCTTGCCTTAGCTCTGTCTTATCGTCACTGCATGGGAAGGCAGGGCCAGTGATGGCAGATTTTCTTTTTTTTCCCAAAGAGCTAAAAATCCTTATATTTATGTGAATTCTCCTAATTTATAAATATTGGCAACAATTCTTTTAAGTTTAAATATATGCAGACCAAACAAAATCTATCTAAAAACTGGTTTTGGACCTCTGAGTGTAAAAACTAGACAATTCATAAATCATGAAGCCCAGCAACTTGCTGCTCATCCTTTAACTAATTTGTTTATGTGTCCATCTGCCCAGCACTGTGATTGCAGGGACTGTGTCTCATTCATTTTTGAGTGTCCAGCACCTACACTGGGTATATACTAAGTGATCATCAAACATATACTAAGTGATCATCAAACACTGACTGAGTTGAAATACAATACCACCACCAGGTTGATCCTTTAGTGGCTATGGTCCTTGGGGACCCCTAGGGAACACAGGAAAAACAGATGAGCCTGGACTCCAGACATATGGGAAAATCTATTGATCTCATGATGCCCACCAGCTCCTTAGGGGTAACTCAAGTGGCGTCTCAAGCCCAGCTCAATATCTTCTCTAATTCTCTTCTAATTCAGTCCCCTTGCCCCCAACTTCTAATACCAGTGCCATCAGCACTGCATAATAATCAGAGCCTTTATCAAGAAAAGGAGAAGGGAGGATCTGGGCATTTTATTATTGACGAATTAAAAACACTTACTAACACACTTTTTGGTGTATTTAGACCATTCACACTTAAAGTGATTATTGACATAGTTAGATTACTATTTACCATATTTGTAGCTGTCTTCTATTCATTGCCCTTGTTCTCTGTTTCTTTTCTTGTCTTCCACTCTTTTTCTGCCTTCTCTGGTTTTAATTGAGCATTTTATATGATTTCATTTTCTCTCCTATCTTAGCATATCTTTGTGTAACTTTTTTAGTGGTTGCCCTAGCATTTGCAATATACATTTACAGTTAATCCAAGTCCATTTTCAAATCACACTGTACTTCTTCCCAGGTAGTCCAAGTTCCCTAGACAAAATATTCCCGATCCTTCCCTTGTAACATTGCTGTCATTCGTTTCACTTACACATAAGCTGTAATGATCGAATACATTGTTGTTAATATTATTTTGAACAAGCTATTATCTGTTAGATCATTACGAATAAGAAAAATAAAATATTTTATTTTACCATCATTTGTTCCTTCTCTAATGCTCTTTCTTTATGTAGATTTGAGTTTCTGACCTATGATATATTCCTTCTCTCTGAAGAATTATTTCAACATTTCTTGCAAGACAGGTCTACTGGCAACAAATTCCATCAATTTTTGTTTGTCTGAGAAAGCCTTTATTTCTTCTTCACTTTTGAAGGATAATTTCCTGGTTACAAAATTCTAAGTTGGTAAAATTCTTTCAACACTTTAAATATTTCACTCCACTCTCTTCTTGCGTGCATCATTTCTGACGAGAAGTCCGATATAATTCTGATCTTTGCTCCTCTATAGGTGAGGTGTTTTTTTCTTCTGGCTTCTTTCAAGATTTTCTCTTTGATTTTCTGCAGTTTGAATATGATTATGGTCTCAATATCAGGGATGATTGGTTATGCCCTGGTGTAGATTTTTTGGCATATTTCCTGCTTGTTCTCTGAGCTTCCTGGATCTGTGGTTTTGTTCCTATCATTAATTTAGGAAAATCTCAGCCATTATTGCTTCAAATATTTCTTCTGTTCCTTTCTCTGTTTCGTTCTGATATTCCATTACACATGCTACATCTTTTTTGATTGTCCCACAGTTCTTGTGTCTTCTGTTCTATCTTTTTTGTTCTTTTTTCTCTTTGCGTTTTTTTTTTTTTTTTTTTTAGGGAAAGTAGCCCTGAGCTAACATTGTTACCAATCCTCCTTTTTTTGCTGAGGAAGATTGGCTCTGGGCTAACATCCCTGCCCATCTTCCTCTACTTTATATGGGACGCCGCCACAGCATGGCTTGACAAGCGGTGCATCAGTCTGTGCCCAGGATCCTAACCTTCGAACCCTGGGCCGCTGAAGTGGAACACGCGAACTTAACCGCCACGCCACTGGGCCGGCCCTTTTCTCTTTGCTTTTTAACTTAAGAAGTTTCTATTGACATGTCTTCAAACTCACTTATTCTTCCTTAGCCGTGTCCATTCTACTGATGAGCCCATCAAAGGCATTATTCACTTCTGTTATAATACTTTTTATTTCTATCATTTCCTTTTGATTCTTTCGTAGTGTTTCTATCTCTGATTACGTTATCCCTGTCTTCTTTCACGTTTTCCACTTTTTCCACTAGCGCCTTTAGCTTATTACTCATAGTTATTTTAAATTCCAGGTCCAGTAATTCCAAAATATCTGCCATATCTAAGTCCGGTTCTGATGCTTGCTTTGTCGCTTCAGACTGTGTGTTTTTGCCTTTCAGCATGGCTTGTATTCTTTTGTTGAAAGCCAGACATGATGTATGAGACAAAACGAACTAAGCTAAATAGGCCTTTTGTGTGAGGTTTGGTTTTCTGGCTAGGAGTTAGGCAGCTTTTACTGTTGGCTGTAGTTTTGGTGTCAGAGGTTCAAGTTTCCTCTAGTGTCCTTGTTTTTGTCTCTCCTATTGTCTTTGAGTTTCCCTAGAGATTTCTCCTTAAATAAGGTCTGAGCTGTGTAGTTCTTTCTGTTGTAACCCCTTTTATTACACAGGAGCCCTACAGATGCAGTGGTATGGTGTAGGGGTGGGGAAAGCATCCTATAAATCCTGTGATTAGGCCTTGGTCTTTTAGTGAGCCTGAGCTGAGTATTTCCCTTCTCCTACATCACAGGCTAGAGCGAGCTGGAGTTGGGTATTTCTCCTCCCCCAGGTTGGTTAGACTCTGGTAAAACAGTCCCCTTGAGGATAGGCATTGCTAAGGAGAATAGAAAGCTCTGGGCTATTTCAAAATAGTTACTTCCCCCACACACACACCCTGCAAGAAGCATGAGAGAGTTTTTCTCTTATCTTCACAGAAAGATCCTGATGGGTCTCCTGGAGGTAAAACACAAGAAAGTATAGGGACCCCCTAAGTTGGGCAACCCAGAGTTTTTGACTCACAAGCTTGTACACACTGAGCCTCTAGCAATTCATCAATTACAGTTTAAAGTGTTCCTGCTGATACTGGTTCCAGCTGCAGGCTTCTGCTCTGGTAAGTTGTGATTCTCTGTAACCAGTTACCTGTCTGTCCAGTTTTGAGGCAACAGTTTGCTCAATTCTCCAATGAATCAAAGAACAGTTGTGGATTTTCAGTTTGTTCTGCTTTTTGTTGTTGTTGTGAAGATGAGAGTGATGACTTTTAAGCTCTTTACACATTGAACCGGAAACCAGAAGTCAGTGCATTTATTATTAACAGTTGGTAGAAGTTTCAGATAAATCCCGGACTCTATTTTAACATCAACTTATACCATTTCAAATATATGCATTTCCTTGACAACATTCAGCATTCAAACATCAAAATCTCAAGTTCAATAAATGCCATACAGTTGATACATATACCTTAATTTCAATCAAGGGATGACGTTGTGGGACAGTATGAAGTGACATTAGAGTTCAAATCCTAGCTCTGTCATATGCTAACTGTGTTACCTTGAGCAAGTAACCTACTTCTCCGAGTTTGTTTCTCCATCTGTGAAGTAGAGCTAATAAATAGCTAGGATAAATAACAGTGTGTTTGTGTGTATATATATTTGGAGGGTAAAATAATTAAATTCATACAAAATTGATTTGCAAATGATGAAGTACAATTCTATGGACATTTAATAATAAAAACAAGGAATTTTCTTCCTTATTTGTATATATATAATAAAAGAGGAAGGATAGTAGAAGAATGGGAAGAGGGAACAAATATATGTATTTAGTTACTTGGGGATTACATTTTACGGCCTCATGCTTCAGTGTTTCATTGCCCATCATATCTGTCTCTTATCTTTTTTTATTGAGATATAATTGATATATAACATTATATTAATTTATTAACTTCAGGTGTACAACATAACGATTCTATTTATGTATATATTAAAAAATGATCACCACAATAAGTCTAGTTAACATCACCACACGTAGTTACAAATTTTTTTTCTTGTGAGTAGAACTTTAAAGATCTACTTATCTTAGCAATTTTCAAATATACAGTACAGTATTATTAACTATAGTCACCATGCTGTACTTTACATCCCCAGAACTTATTTATTTTATAACTGGAATTTTGTACATTTTGACCCCCTTCACCCATTTCACTCTCCCCCAACCCTCCACCCCACCCCCCCACCTTGAGCAACTACCAACATATTCTCTGTATCTATGAGTTTGGTTTTGTTTTTTTTTTTAGGTTCCACATATAAGTGAAATTATATTGTATTTGTCTTTCTCTGTCTGATTTATTTCACTTAGCATAATGCCCTCAAGCTCCACCTGTGTTGTTGCAAATGGCAGGATTTCCTTCTTTTTATGGCTGAATAATATTCCATTGTGTATACATATACACCACATTTGCTTTATCCATTCATCCATTGATGGATACTTCGGTTGTTTCCATATCTTGGCTATTGTAATAATGCCACAATGAACCCCGGGGGTGCATATATCTTTTCAAGTTAGTGTTGTCATTTCCTTTGGCTAAATACCCAGAAGTAGAATTGCTGGGTCATATGGTAGTTCTACTTTTAATTTTTTGAGGAAACTCCATACTGTTTTCCACAGTGGGTGCACCAATTTACATTCCCACCAAAGGTGCACAAGGATTCCCTTCTCTCCACAGCCTTACCAACACTTGTTGTTTCTTGTCTTTTTGGTAATAGCCATTCTGACAGATGTGAGATAATATCTCACTGTGGTTTTGATTTGCATTTCCCTGATGATTAGTGATGTTGAGTATCTTTTCATGTACCTGTTGGCCATCTATATATCTTCCTTGGAAAAATGTCTATTCAGATCCTCTGCCCATTTTTTCACAGGATTGTTTGGGTTTTTTGCTATTGAGTTGTATGAGTTCTTTATATATTTTGGATATTAACCCCTTATCAGATATATATGATTTGCAAATATTTTCTCCCATCCTATAGGTTGCCTTTTCATTTTGTTTATGGTTTCCTTTGCTGTGCAAAAGCTTTTTAGTTGACGTAGTCCCACTTGCTTATTTTTGCTTTTGTTGCCTTTGCTTTGGTGTCAAATCCAAAAAATCATTGTCAAGACCAGTGTCAAGGAGCTTACTGCCTATGTTTTCTTCTAGGAGTTTTATGGTTTCAGGTCTTATGTTCAAGTCTTTAGTCCATTTTGAGTTAATTTTTGTGTATGGTATAACATAGTGGTCCAGTGTCATTCTTTTGCATGTGGCTGTCCAGTTTTCTCAACACCATTTATTGAAGAGACTGTCCTTTCCCATTGTATATTCTTGGCTCCTTTGTCATAAATTAATTGACCATATATGCGTGGGTTTATTTCTGGGCTCTCTACTCTGTTCCATTGATCTATGTGTCTGGCTTTGTACTGTAATATCTCTTTAATTTCATGAAGGAAGGTGTACACAACAGTATTAAATAATCTTAAGAGATTTAAACAGTTCTTCGTTCAAAAAATTTTTTAATTTTGCATAGATTATAGAACTAGAAAAGTCATAATAGAAGGGGAGATATTTGATTGAACTTCCTAAAAATTAATTTGGTTCACAAGACAAAATACACAGAACCAAATACAAGGCTCCTAAGGCCACCTTCTGTTCCCTGAGGATGGTGGTCAGGACACCTCAAGGGACTCCCACATTGAGCTTTAGGTCGAGATGAAACCACAGAACACTGTTATGTGAACTGCCACTCAGTCAAATTTCTGCCTTATTAATCCAAATGCAGAATTTTGCATGTATTCCTCCTTAGTTTCATTTTGTTGGTTTGGGCCCACCTCCCAGCCCGCCAAGTTGTTTCTCGTAATGATTCTGTCATTTAATAAAAACATCTGCTTGTTCTCAAAGTCTGAGACCATCTCTTTAGAAATCCTAAATGGATGCCTTCAGCTACATGTTACAGAAATCATCTCTGACTTTCCTCGATAAAATAGGGGATTTATGGAGAGGGAATTAGGACCTCAGAGAATTGAAGTGTGCCTGGGTGATCAGGCTAAGAAAATGTACAAGAACCATCTCTTGTGGGCTGAGAAGCAGCAAGCACAATGATCTTTTAGCAGAAATAGTCTAGGTACTTCCTAGACTAGAAATAGAAGGCACTTCCTTCACCACCATCGGACACCATTGCCAAAACAGTATTTTGGGCAAAATACTGTTGCTTCCTCCCTGTTGAATGAACACTAAAATACCTTTGCATTGTTTGGATTTGCTCAAGAGAGTATCTAATTGGCCAAGACTCTGCCACATTCCTGAAAGCCAGAGAGTGGGAAGCGGAAAACCTCTGCCCTTTTACCATCAGTACTGAGATGCCAGGCACTACCCATTATATCATGAAGACCACAGACAGTGGGGAATTCCCCCAATACAGCAGCTAGGATTGGACACTGAGAAGTCAAAAAATATCAAAGTTCACCATAAATGGGGTATTTTTATTTTAAAGAATGTTTTGGAATAACATAAAGCAGAACTAATATTCAGAGGATATATATGGCTACAGATATAACTGTTGGTCATAACCAGCGTCTGTTCTGATTGGCCTGCATTGTCAAATATTTTGAATATCATCCTGTATATAAAGCCATATGAAGCAGATTTAATTTAAAAAGGTGGGTGAAAATGCCAGGTAATATAATTTTTGGTCAAATAAAAAAGTGTGATTATTAAGCAAAAAGACCACTTTTCTTGTGTGATTTATAGACAAGCTCTAGGGGCAATTCTAAAAGAACAGTCCAGAAGTGTTTGATCTTTAGCAGTAGAATGGAATAAGGAGGCTATGATGAGGGGCAGGTTTTGTTGTTTGTGTGTGTTTTTGTATGTAAATGCTAGTGTGTTTGTTTTGGAATCAGTCTTCTTACCTCACAGTCCCAGGATAAACGTACCCACATATAAAAACCATCCTTTATGTACAAAGACAATATGACTGACCAACTGTTCTTGGTCATGAACTTTGCAAAGAGCAGCAATAGGCAACCTGAGGTAAGGAAGTGAGTAAAAGATAGATTCCTTTTAAAGGGTAGTTATTGTGTTAAAATAGCCCAGCATCCATGCCAGCAAGAGAGAGTTGCGAGGAAAAACATCAGAATGAATAACATGGGCATGCATTCAATAAACCAAAGGCTCAGCACAAAAAGGAAAGCAAACTGGACTCACAAGATAAAATTTTAAAAAGAGACAACCACAGGCACAGGAGAGCAATGGGAGCGAAAAAATGGAGAAATCAAAATGAGTCAACACAAAATCTACAAAGAAAAACAGAATTATAGATCTTGGGGCTGAAAAAACAAACCACTAGGGCCCCATAAAGCTTCTGGTGAAGGCAGTACTGTTCACTGCTCTAAACTCTTTCGTTTTTCATCTACTTGGCTCTGAACACCCAGAGAGGGGCCTCTGTCTACAAACCTCTCCCCACACCCCATTGTTAGAAAGTTGGATCCTTACAGCTAAAAAGTTTCCCTCTTCTGATGAGGCCCATTATTCTTTGCTATACTTTTAACCACAGTCAATAACTTGTCCCTTTTCCTTCCGTTATTATTCCTCAGTATTTATAGATGCATCAGTGGTTTCTTTCCTTCAAAATGTGCATATTCAATTCCCTCGGTCCCAGCTGCCTTCAAAATGCATGATTTTGAAAAGAGTGGGAAGGAGAGAGAGAGACAAGGGTCATCTTTATGATCCTTTGCATATCCCGTTTATCAATGTCCCTTCAATAGTGAGAAAGGCCAAGCTGGACCAGGCA